AAATACCTCCCTTAATCCTCATTAAGGAGGGGACGCGAACAACGCAGATTACACACATTAAACACTCTCACCTAGAGAGACCCAATCACTTTAATTTCCTCATTAATTACTCCTTAATCAAGTACTAACTTGACCGTCGGAGGCGGATCTCCAATCATCCGGAGCATCCGTTTGTTTTGCAGGTACAGGCGTCCGGTTCCAGTCTCGGAATTGTAACTCTCCCGCAGGACATCAGAAAACCCCGAAACAACTCGTATATTACAAACAAATTTATTTCAATCACATAATACTTAAAAAATCATATTACAAGCCGAAGTATTACAAATAACATGTAACAAACAAATATTACACACCCATTACTCTTAAGAGTAGCCAAAAATAAAAAAATATAATGACCTTAGAGACCTGTTATTAGATGTAACAGGTCTCTTTTATCTAAAAAAAAAAAAAAACAGAGAGAAAGAAGGAGAAATACTGCTAGCATCTAAGAGACCGGTTTAACCGATCTCTTTTAATTACAAAAGAAAACACAGAGAATAAAGGGGAAAGCGCGGGAGTGATACCTGCTGGAACCTAAGAGATCAGTTTTTTTTTTTTTTTTGGGCTAGTGATACACGTGCACCAATGTAGCTCTATCCCTGGGTATAATAGTTTGCACTTTGTAAAATTGCACTTGCTTCTAAGGTGGTGTTAATCTTTGATTTATAAGTTTACATATAGTAAAACAAACCTCACTCTCCTTAAAAGCTAAATATATTTAGTTAAATCAGCACAAACTAAATTGTTGCTTCAAACAACATTTTTTTTTTTTTACAATCTTTATGTAAGAATCGTTAATTATATGATTGATAAAAGATGTATTTGATAGGTAGAGCTTAGTGAAAGAAACGAGTCTTTAAAAAAATCATGAGAAATAAGTCAATCGCAGTAGGCTACCAATTCCATCTAATTAATCTAACATTAAAAATGACTCTTTAATAGTGACAGACTTATGTAGTTTTCAAAAGATTGATAAAAAATTCTCATAGATGGATACACTAATTACGGAGTAGCAATAACCGAAAATAAAATCACGATTATCAGTAGTATAACCATTAATATGAGACGGCCTAAAACAACAACTTGAAATTAGACGGTAGGATTTTGATGAAGAACGCCTGAAGAGATAGAGACGCGGTAACTAACTTTACTATAGTTTGTAATCTTTTATTCTGTTAATTAAGCTTATGTCCAAAAAAAAAAATCAAAAAAAAAATAAAAAAATAAAAAATAAAAACTTTACCAAAAATGACTTTCACCGAAGGAAAGAAACTAACTTTACCTCCATCGAGCAACATTTTAAAAATGTGCTACCCTTTCTATCTTGGACCACAAGCATGGAAAAACTTTCATTTACGCCTATTACCAGTTCAAAATCTTCACACGCATACACAGTCTATCCTAACCCATATGGATCACAATTACAAATTACGCGTGGGAGCTAACTTTATTTTTCTACTCTTCAATTTGAGGGAAAGGGTCGTCTTTGTCTCACATAGGGGTGTCAATTTAGCTAAACAGTACGGGTTTGGGTTAGGTTTATCAGTTTCGGGCTATAATGACTCGGTTTATGACGGGTTGAAATGATTAGCGGGTCGGTTTTGAAAATTATCGAGTCACTTCGGTTTGGGTTTTTTTTTTAATTTTTTAATTTTTTATTATTATTATTATTATTTATTATTATTGTGGTTTCTATTCGGACCGAATCATAATCGGGTCGGGTTGAAGTCGGTTCGGGTCATAATCAGTTTGGATTGAATCGGGTCGATTTGAAAACGGGCTTAGCCAGTTTAAAGTGGGTTTTAATTCAAAATAGTTCAGGTCCTAATCGTGTTGGGTTGTAATTGGTTCGGGTCATAATCAGTTTGAGTTAAACTGAGTCGGTTTGAAAATGGGTTTTGGTTCAAAACAGATTGGGTGAAATCGGGTCCGGTCATTATCGGTTCAGGTCATAATCGGTTTGGATTGAACTTGGTCGGTTTGAAAGCAGGTTTACCCAATTTGAAGCGGGTTTCAGTTCAAATCATATCGAGTTAAAATCGAGTCGAGTTAGTCAGATAATAGGTAGGAACGGGTCATGTTATAATCAAGTTAAGTCATAAATAAGTTAGGTTTATCAAGTAGTGGGTTGAAACGAATCAGATTATAAACATATTGAGTTACGGGTTGTAAATGACTCAGCCATAACAGGCTACGGGTCGTAAACGGTTCGGTCTCAACAGGTTACGGGTTATAAACGGTTCGGTCTCAACGGGTTACGGGTTGAAAACGGTTCGGTCACAATGGGTTACGGGTTATAAATGGTTCAGTCACAACGTGTTACGGGTTGGAACGGTTCAGGTTTATCGAATTTTTGCCGGGTTTAACCGATTTTCGGTTTAAAATGAGTCGGGTTACTATCAGGTTCAGACGTAATCGGTTCGGGTTGTTTTCAGCTTCGGGTTGTAATGGTTTGGCTTGATAACTGGTCGGGTTAGTAACGGTTCGCACAAATTCGGTACAGTTCAGTTTTGGATTGGAATAAATTGGGTCTGGTTGGTTTTCGATTTCCAAAAAATAGGTTTTAAACGGTTCAGTTGCTTTTCGAATCTGATTTAATGATTCGGGTCAGAAACTAACAGCTCTAGTCTCACATAATTGGTGGGATAAGAAATTTTTACTTTGCTTAAATATGTGGATTTTATACGTGAGGTTTTAAGAGTAACTAATAGTGGTTTGGGCTATAAGAAGGCATCACCACGCGCTTGCGGTTTAGTTCGTGACACGTGTGCGGACCTTTCAGTACATACGTAATTTTACATTTTAAATGGTTTTTGTAACTGTCACTTGATTTCCACCTCATTATTATCTTCCCTTGATCTTCTTTTTCAATTACAATATTATGCTGGTTTTAAAAATTGATGTGTTTTTCACATATACTCCGTATATTCTTTCGTATATTTTAGTCATTGAGGACAATAACACTAATAATAAATAGTACTCTGTACGTGGATATAATCCAATGCACGTATAGCACATTATGATATGTACTAACATGAGGTCCGAAAATACATACCAACAAATAATTAAACCACAATAGTACAAATCCCCTTCAAAATGAAAGTTATAGTAATAGGTAGCACTGTCAAAATGGTTTGATGGTTCGTTTTGAAACTGATCGTTTTGAAATCGGTCTAGTTGGTCGACGGGTCGGTTTTAGTTCGGTTATAATTATTATCGGTTCGGTTCTGTTTCGATTTATTTTTGGTTGGTTTTAATTCGGTTCGACTCGTAAACGGTTTGGGTAGTGAACGGTTTGGTGCAAACGGGTTGCGGTTTGTATATGGTTTTTAACCGGGTTCAAACGGTTTCGGGTTAGAAATGAGTCAGGTTAACAATGATTTGGTTACTTTTCGGTTCAATATTATTTCAGTTCGGTTTAGAATTGGTTCGATTCATTAACGGATTTGGTTCTTATACGGTTTAACATTTATTTGGATTAGTTTGGTTTCGGGTTTACTAAAATACGGTTTTGGTCGGTTTTCGGTTTCAAAAAATCGATTTTGGTCGATTTTCGGTTTCAAAAAATCGGTTTTTAATCGGTTCGGTTCCAATTTGTTAAAGATATACACAAATACTTTCTTTTTAAAACTAGAATTTTGGAGTCTCTTTTTCAATTGATAAAAAATCAAAGGATACAATCTCATTCTAAAAATTTGGAGAATTATAATAATACATCATACGAATTTGAGTAGGCCAGCTTTGTACAACATAATTTCGAACAAAATATGAAGCACTTTGATGATATCTTTTAAAGAGAACACGAAGATTATTTTTGCTTAATTCATAATTACAAAAAAAAGAGTCAGGGAAAACAATGATACACTTCATAGTAAACATGTGTGCATAATTAGATTTCATTTAAAATTCTTTTAATGTGATTTTAATCTTCCCTTTATACTAAGCGGTTTGTAAACTTTCGGTTCATAAACACTTCGGTTTGTAAGTGCTTTGGTTTACAAACAATTCGGTACAAATGGGTTGCAGTTTGTTAACGGTTTGGTGTAAACGGTTTAAATCCGGTTCAAACGGTTTCGGGTTGGAAATGGCTTCGGGTTGGAAACGGTTTGTTTTTTTCGGCTTTGTTTTATTTCAGTTCGGTTTTTATACGGTTTAACATTATTCGGATCGGTTCGATTTCGGGTTTACTAAAATACGGTTCGGATCGGTTTTCAGTTTCAAAAAATCAGTTTATAATCGGCTCGGTGCTCATTTAGGTCGGTTGGTTTCGAGCATTAAACGGTTTCGGTTTGAAATTTAATAGTGCTAGTAATAGGGTATCATGTTTCTTTGTTATCATCATTTAAGACAAGAATAGTTATTGACTCCAAAAACCTCTCCAATATTTTTTCGGTTATTGGCACATTAATCATATACGCATTTTTTTTTTTTTGGTTTTTAGAGAGCCACAAGGGTGGGGTGAAAATCAATTCCAGGATCTTCTGTAATTGAGAGGAAAGCTCTAACCACTTGAGTTATCCCTCACTCTATACGCAGTATGTAGTAACATACATAATTATTATTATTATTTTTTTTTTAAAAAAAGCTAAAGTTTAAAATTGAAATGGACAGAAACGAAACCTCTTTGATTGCCTTAAAGCCTTAAAGTTGATAGTGCGTGGCCGGTTTATGATAATATTGAGGGCCTTTAATTTATTCATGCAACGCTACTACTAGTATTGGGAGCTCCATTAATTTAAAGTTCCTATTTTTCCACTCATAATAAAAACCTTTGTCTTAAGCTTCATCTCTAATTTTCTAGCTATATATACACCCTCTACCATTTCTTTTTCCACCACACCAAAAATCACTCTTATAGATAAAACACAACATTCTAACAAACAAGCTAGCTTACCACTATTACAAAAATCTAGGAAAAGATGGAGCAAAACCTACCAATAATCACAAAAAAGTTATACAACATGGTGAAACTAGCCATCTTCATGCTAAGAAAATGTATCTCCAAGAAGAAATTACTCTTGGACCTCAATTTGATGATGAAACGAGGAAAGAAGGCCTTTACAGCCAACAAAGTCTCCACCACTCAAGGTGGCGGTGTTGTTGGTTTTGATGTTCAACAAGAGTACGAGTTTAGTTGTAGTAACACCCCTTTATACCGTCATTACTTCACCAACAAGAAGAAAAACCACCAAAACTACTACTACATGCCTTCTCCGAAAATTGAAGAAATTGATAATAACTTAGAGGCTATTAGCAAGGTGTTGGACACCATGTTGTCTAGGAAAGATAGCGGTGTCCGGCCTCTAAGGGTAACGGACTCTCCATTTCTTTTGCAAAATGAAGGAATTTGTGGTGATCAACGTGTGGATGAAGCTGCCGAGGAGTTTATTAAGAGGTTTTACTCGCAACTCAAGGAGCAAAACTGTTATTAGTATTATTACTTAGATAATGTTATGGTCACACTTTTAGTTGCTTAATGTTGTGTTAAGTGTAAGTTGAGGTAAAATTAGTGCAAGATAGTAGAAAAATACACATATATAGGTGTCTGATATATGATACAATTCAGGAAACAGTGATGCTGAATATGTGCGTCCGTTTTTTGAAATATCATGCTGTCTGTTTTTGGGACAAGCAATATGGTAGAACTTTGGACTACCTTGTAAGGTAGAGAAACTTGTAATTTTGCATTACTTTTTTATTGTGTGTACAAAATATGTATGGTATAGTATACTATATTGGCAAACTCACTCTTGAATAATTTGGATGTTAGCCCTTTGTAAAATTGATGCACTTGCTTTTAAAGCTAAGTGAAATTTATATTCGGTTTATGTCTAAAATTGAAATCTGATTCGACCACATTAATATACCAAAAAAAAAAAAAAAAAAAAACCCTCAAGTTAATCATGGAATTTTTATTTTTTTTTGTTAAATCAGTAAATTGATGTAGGAAGCGTGAAGTTGATTTATGATTGATAAAGATTTGTTTGATAGGTAGAACATAGTGAAAGAAATGATTCAAACATCTATGATGAAAAATAAGTCAAACGACAATTTTACCTAACTAGTTTATCATTAAAATGACTTTAATAGTGACAAGCTTAATAAATACTTATCAAGAGCTTCGTGAAAAGAACTCTCGTAGTTGAAGAGTCTAATTACTAGCAATCAATGAAATCAAAATCAAGATTTTTCACTAGTATAAGCATCGATAAGACACGACCTATAATAACTAATTAAAATTGGACAGTATGACCTTGAAGAGCCTCTAATGAGAGAAAGACACGGTAACTTTACCTACATGACTTTCACAAAAGGAAAGGAAAAAAACTTTACCTCGATGAGTCGTCAACAAAAAAAACTTATGAAATGGACTCTCTCTCTTGGTTTGCGGGTGTGGCCCACACGTGTATTTAACATGGTATCAAAGCCAGACCCAAGGTTTTGGACCTTTAATGGCATTAAGGGGTCGTTTAGTTGGATTATTTGGAATGAAGTTAGAATTCGATCCATTTAATTTTTTGTTTGTTTGAGACTTTTAGTAATGAAATCTCATACCCAAGGGGTTCTAATTCCCCTCCATACCCATGGAATCTCATACCCATTTCTCCCCATAAGATTCACAATCCATTGTATTAATGAAGGATAGAATCCATTTCAACAATAAAACCAAACAACTTTGGACTAGTATGGGTTTTAGAGTCCATACCTCTCTAGCATGAGCTTCCATACTAATTCATTCCAACGTGATGAACCAAACACGCCCTTAGTATTCTGGGCCAAATTTAATTGGATCAAATAATACTTGAGTTAAAGGGACCTTACATGTGAAGGAGAGCGTTGAAGTATATCATACCAAATAACACATGTAAGTGTCCCAAATTGAGAAAAGAAGAGAGAGTCAAACTCTTTATAAAGCTAAGGGGCTACTCCTCCTATTGTCATATAATTTTGGGATGGAACCTCTTTTGGACTTGTGAAATGGACTCTCTCCCTCTTAGTTTGCTGGTGTGGCCCAAACCCATATTTAAAAATGAAATTTGGGATGACTAGCAGCTATATATGCTCGTTGTATATACAATGTCTGACAAATCAACTAATGGAACATAAAAAAGCCAAGTGATTACTATCAATTGCCAATTCCCAAACAAAACTAGAGCATCTTCATTTTTTTATTTATTTTTATTTTTTAATTATCAGCTAAGTTACTTTTTTTATTATTATTATTATTTTTTTTTTTAAAGATTTTTAGTGTGACACTCAGGGGCGGACCCACCTTTAGTCATAGTGGGTCCGGTGACACAATATTTTTTTTTAAAATTAAAATATCAAAGAGACCCCTTATTATAGATAGGTGGTCTCTTTGATGCTGCTATTGGTAACAACAAACAATATTAAAGAGACCTCTTATTAAGATAGGCGATCTCTTTAATGCTGCTATTGCTACAAAAGACTTGTTGTGGTTTTTTTTAAATATTAAAGAGACCTGTTATTTATATAAGAGGTCTCTTTGATGCTGCTATTGCATTTCGCAATTTTTTTGCGCTACTTTCCCTTTTCATTAAAGAGACCAGTTATATTTAATAACTGGTCTCTTAAGTTATCTCACTTTTTTTGTATAATTTTTTAATAATTTTTTTTCCCTTTTTATATCTTATATTTGTACAACCAATTTTAATATTTCCCCATAAAGCTTATCAATTAACTAAAAAATCATAAAGTTAATTCAATATAATAATTTTATTGTACCATTTGTTTATAACATGTTATTTGTAATATTTTCGACTTGTAAAATTGAATTCTTAAGTACTGTATTTGGTTGTGGTATGAATTTTTGTGTCCTATTTTTGGATTGAAATCAATTTGGTGAAATATATATATATATATATATATATATATATATATATATATATAATTTTTGGATTGAAATTAATTATGAACAAGACATGGAAAAAAAAAATTGTACTTTCACAAATGATCAATAATTGATGGTGACACACTATCTCGGAAATCCTGGATCCGCCACTGGTGACACTGGTCGTAAATTTCAATTACCTTTTGTAATTTTTAGATATTAAATAATTCTTTTTTTTAATAATCAATTTGTTAATATGATTATATCAAAAATAAAAATAGATGATTGACTCAATACGAAATAGTTTCTATATATATAGCAAATAGATTTAACTAGAGGATCTTGGAATCAGTTAAGCAACCTTTAAGCTTAGCTTCTATGATCTACTCTACACCACACATATCATTATAATCTAACACACTTTCAGTTTATTTTATTTTATTTTCTCCAAAGTTGGTGGGGAATCTTGTTATTCCAAACTTCAAAAGCATCGACTATTAACCACATTTTTTGGCCTCAATAATATCTATATGTTGGACTATGTATTATGATTGAAATGCTAAAAATAATAACTTTAATTTGTTATCCTTTATAGTATCTATCAATCACAAAAAGCAAGGACACATATATTGGTATATCTAGTTAATTTATTATAATATCATTTGAGGATTCAAGATTCACTAAAATTCTTGTACCGTAGTACTCTTTGACACAAGCCACTTGTCAAGCATTAAGTACGCGCACTATCTACCATGCTTGAATTTTAGTTTTCATGCTATACCCTTTCGTGCGTGGTTTGACAAGAAAAGTGCATACAAAGAATAATGGAAAAATTAAATTAAATTAAATCAAATCACATATTAGTTGATGGCCATGCATTTTGTAATTTAAATAAAACTACTAATAAGCACTACGAAGTACATATATACTTCCTCCGTTTTTTTTAGTCGTATGGATTCGCATTATTTTAGTTTTCACGGATTCCTAAGCAATTTTAAAAGTAGAGAAAAAATAAATGAGGCCCATGTGATAGGACAGTGATAGAAATGAACAATCCTAAATTATGCCTCCTTTATGAGGAATGATCACCATACCGCCAAGCCATAGAAGAATTCAAAAGGCAAAATAATTATGATTGGCGTGTCGCATACCTAACAAAAATAAGTTAACAAGACCACTACTATGTAGATAGGCAAGTAAGGATCGAATCCCAAGAGACTAAGGTTTGACTAATTAGACAGACTCAAATTAATACTAAGCAAGTAACCAAAGTAATAGTAAGAATTAATAACTAAAAATAATTAAAACGATTAAATCTAAGTAATATGACAAATCAAATGCTAAAAACATCCAAGATCAAGCATCACCACAAATACAATTAACACAATAGTCGTTCTATCCTTAACATATAATTTAATTGATTAATGAAGAAAAGTAATCCCTAAATAGTATCAATGGTCTCTCCCGAGTTATCAATGGCTTCCCTAATCACAATCAAGCCTACTTCCGTGGAATCATGTAAATGAAAGACTTTGAGCACATTACTCTATCTTCCTAATCATCCATTCAACTACTCTCCTGATGAACTTTAAACCCTTAATTGATTTATTCAAACCCGTTAAAACCCAACTCCCGTTGCGATAAAAACAATGGATTAATAACAATACTAATTATCCCTAATCTAGTATTGGCATGAGCACAATCAATTAAGCATATCAATTGCAATTATCATTAGAGAATTTAAAGAATTAAATCATGCATTAATCATATTCGGGTTTCACTAGATCTTGGAATAAAGAAAATACTTACACATATTAATGAAAACAATAACAAGAATTAAGAAAAACATAATTAACAATCAAAGGAATTAAAGAGAATAAGAAAATACCGAATCTTGAATTACTAGAGATAAACGAAGAATCTTGAGTGCATAATCTTGAATTACAATGAAAATAAAGTCTAGAGAGAAAACTAGGGTTCTAAGATGATAGATAATGAAATTATAATGCTAAAGAGTATTTATAATAAAGCTAAAAGATAGGATAAAATAAGGAAAGAAATCGGATGAAAATCGATCAAATTCGTCCAGGCATGGGCGTGCCACACAGGACATGCCCGTGCCTAAAGTCAGAAACAATTTTTCTTCAACTTCCAGCGAGACATGAGCGTGTCTAATTCTGACATGGCCTGGGCGTATCTCACTGGAATGGCACCCTCAGTACCTACATCACTCGAAAAGACACGGGTGTGTCACATCTTGGCATAGGCGTGTCTTGTTGGGCCAACTCCACTCGACGAGGCATAGGCATGCCTCAAATAGACATGGCCATGCCTCAAATAAAACTTCAAATTCAACTTTCTTCCTCTTCAAAACACAATGGCATGCCCATGCCCTGTGTGACATGGGCGTGTGGCTGGGATTTGGCTTCTTTTCGCTTCAACATCAAACATTAGCCTTTAAAATGAATTGCAAGCTATGATTAAGATCCGTAACTTTGTAAATCCTTTGAATAACCTCGTTAAATCCTAAAATATATCAAAAACAACAAAACTACCCATAAAAGCATCTAATGACCACAACCAAACCAAATCAAGCCAAAATAAGCTATGAACGACTAATCTAGACTCGAAAACTTCCTAAAAAGACCCTATAAATATGCACAAGACACAACTTATCAAATTAATTACTGACTTGTGGAACGCGCCTCACACGTTTCCTTCTTGAAAACCCCAAACCGTGAAAATCATTAAACCAGCCCCTAGTTTTTTTAAAACCAGCTTTCCCCTTCAAGCAGTAAACCGTTGGGCCGCCGGAAAGTAGAGTGGGTTGGGTTGCTCCTTGATCACCGCGACCTCCCTGTCAAGACTCTAACCTAGCCGGCCAACACTATTTTCGATAAAGTGTTATGGCTATCCGATAATCGACCCCCTGCAGCGATCTGATGGTTCCTTCGCGTGGGTGTCGACTTTGGTCGCCGCTTCAAGTTTTCATTTTCTGGGTTGTTCTTTACACATTCTCTATCAAGGACGTGTTTGTTAGTGGTGGTGCTCCGATCACCTCTAAGGTTGCCGCCCTTTCTTTCTGCGACTCTTGTGGGTGCCGGCATAGCTTAGCCAGATCTTGGACCTTTATCTTTAGCCTTGTCGCAATATTTAGAAATTCTCTTTGATTGAAAGTTCGAAAAAAGGTCTTTATGGTTTGATTTTTTTAGTTCTCTAGTTTGCTAGTTTTCTAGCGTGTTGCTCTTTGATCTGGTTTTCATAAAAAGACTATTAATTAGTGTGTAGCTTCTTTTGTGGAGTTGTCAGTAGTTTTCATTTTCGTATTAGAAGTTTTAGTATGGACTGTCGCAAATTACTAAATGCTCTAATCCATATTCACTTGAATGATGACTATGACGAAAGCATTGTCAACTTTGCTAAGAATAATTGCCCCCGGAATATCCTCAATCAAGCAAAGTTTTTGAAAGAGGAGGGCAATGTTCACTTCAAGAAAGGTGAAGTCGTTCTTGCTGGGGCTAAGTATAATAGAGGACTGAAACTCCTATGTTTTGTATTGCCAAGAGATGAAGATGATTGTGTTTTTCTAAGGAATCTTGTCATATCCCTTGAGTTAAACCTCGCAGCTTGCGCCTTAAAAGTTCGGGATTACGAACAATCAAAGGAACTCTGTTCGCTAGTCATTATGCTTGATGATAACAACACTAGAGCCCTCTACAGAAGGGCTTTAGCCGAAATCAGGCTTTACCAACTTGAAGAGGCTTTTGAAGACCTAGGCAAAGCAGTCAAGGCTGAGCCTAACAACCAGGACATCCGCCGTGAAATGGAGAAAGTGGAGGGTCTAGGAAGTAAAGCTAGCAAGCTAAAGGGTAATAGAGCAATTGAGAATTCCGACCTGCCACATGCCATCTTCAACAAAAAGGGGAAGATCAGTAAGTCAGATATCAGTGTAGAATCTAACAAGTTATCTAGTAGTGATGTTCAGAGTGATGTTACAGAGTTACCTAACATGGACACTGCTAGTGAGATGGCGGTAGAGAACCTTACCCCAATAGTAACTAAAACTCCTCCTTTGGATAAAGGGGACGACGAGGCTACCAGCTCCCCAAAGAACCAAGATTCTAGGCATGCTAAAGACAAGGGATCGAGGAAAATCCATATTTTCCTCAACAGATTGAGAAGCAAATCAGTCCCTTAAGATTTCAGATGTGTCTTACTTAAACCCAAGTCAAGGGAAAACCTTGAGTTTCTTGAAACATTCTGCTGTTTCATGGATGACTGTACGAGTGAAGGAAAAGACCACCCAAGATGAGCATCTTGATTCTCACAAGGCTAAGGACTCCAAAGTTTCTGAAACCTTGTTCATGCCCACTATGATGGTGGATCACGTCAAGAAGAGCCAAAAGAAAAAGGTTAAGCAATCTCTAGGCACCACCGTGGTCAACCATATTGTTGGAATTCCCAATCACAACATCACTACCATTGAGAAGTTAGATGATCATATATCTACTGGCCTAGCTTCTAGCAGGCAATGAGGGTTCAAATATTAAGGAGGGGAATGAGGTTCCTACGAGACATATAACTACCACTGATATTGCTGGTGTGGAATCCGTATATTCTAATGAGGAAGACCCCACGAATTTTGAACTTGAACAGGTACAATCATTTCCTCCACACCCTACCTTCACGTTTTCTGCCATGTTGAGGAAGTATGGAAGGTAAATCAGGTCAAAGGCAAAGAGCAAGAAAGGTAAAAGGTACTCCAGGTTTTATTTTTGCAGAATCAAGAAACGCAAAGGAACAAGTTTGGAACACCCTATGACCGGCGATAGATCCCCTCAGTCCTCTTATTTGCATTGTTAAGAAGTTCACGACGTTTGTATCCCCAATCCCCACTTTAGTTCTTGTATTATCTTAGCTTAGAGAGTTAAATTTTCGCTTTGTAGTCTTAAGTCAGTTGGGAGTTAGCCTCCTTTTTGGACCGTTGTAAAAAAAAAAGATCACCATACCGCCATATCAACAAATGTAAATAAAAGTAGTTTAAGGTAAAACCGCTAATTGAATTGGTGGTTTTCACGAAAGATAAAACCGACACTTCAATTAGTTGATAATGCAAGCAAATTAAACATTCAGGTGTCATTTAGTATCGTTGTGGTCTTCTGTTTTTTTGTTTTCCAAAATCATATGATATATGACATTAATGAATCATAAATTGGTCAAACTGATGAAAACCATGATAATTTTGAAAACTGACAACAAAAAAGTGAAAACACTTTTTTTCTTGTTTCCTTTTTGGGTTTTTGTTTTTTTTTTTTAAGAAAAAAACAAAAAACGATGCCAAAAAGCCCTCAATTAGTGGTTTTATTAGGTAATAAATCGCTAATTAAATTATCATTTCTCTTTCATGTAACCCGGCCTCCATCCTATTCAATCAGTGATGTGTTTCCTTTTGTAGGCGTCGCACGAAATATGTCTACTTTAGCATACGTTAATATTCTAGACAATCATTAGGAAGTTGGATTTGACTAATACGATAGTGATAAGGGATAAAGTAGAGAGTCGCCAACAACTTTTTAAGGAACTTGTATACTGTTCATGGATTTTAACAAAAGAGACAAGACAACCAAGAATTTTGAATCTTGAAGGTTACACCCCATTCATAATCCATGAGATTAATAACTCCATGTGGTCACGAATCATGATTGGAGGTACGGGGATGAAGGTACAAAATTGAGTCAAAGAGACAATTTCACCCATATTTCCCTCTGCTCGATTCTTATTGCGACAAGTATTATTATTTGCAATTCACAAGACATACAATCAAATTAAAGTCAATAAATTTTCTTTAAACTAACATTACTAATTAAGTAAGTTGAACATTTAATGCACACATAATTCTAAATATTGTGATCACTAATTAGTCCACAAGATTAAGAAGGAACATAACTTGGTCATCCAAGTTATCTTGTTAGGCGTGATTTTCAATTACATATTCTTGATTAAATATACAAAAAGGTGATCAAAATAAATAAATTATACAACATAAATATTAGTTACAACATAATAATATTAATAACACAATTAAAACATATGGAAATAATAATCAATAAAAATCGTAATATGATACTAACAAAATAAAATAAATTAAATCAAGAACGAACTAAAATAAATTAATTGCTTAAATTGTATGTATTTTCTTTCAATTGCTACATCAAAATAAAATATTAGTAACTTTATTAGAAACAATATGAATAAAATGAAACTAATTGATTGAAATAAAGTACATTAAGTTTTGTCAAACCCTCAGTAATAGTTCAACCTTCACGCCTTGGTTTAAGAGTAGTTTTTGAGTATTATAACGTCTCTTTGAATTTCTTGAAGGAATAGTAGTGATTGGGAATATTAGGAGTATGTATGTAGTAGAGCTAATTACGCGTCTGAATTAATGCCCGGAACCCTAAAAAATGTCCGGTATGTATAGGATAGGATACGAGAGTAAATAAAAAGAGGCTAAAAATTGTCGCGTTGTGTCAGAATTTGCCGCGATGCGTCAAAATTGATGTGGCACGTTAATTTGGCAGTTCTTACACGGTTATCAAAACTTCCATGACTTTGGATCTATAACTTAGAATAACATTATACTCCATATAATATATCGTTGAAAGCTCTATAAGTCAACTTTCCAACCCAATGGAATTTAGGTCAAAATCATTTGTAGTATTAAGATATGGTCGAAATAGTGCAAAGGTGTCGGTTGTGGGCCGAGTCTAGTATTTGGCTCATATCTTATTCGTATTTAATCAAAATTAGGCTTATGATATATCATTGGAAATTTTATTTCAAGGGCTATTCAACCATATAAGATTTGCATAAATGTTACGAGGCACGAAAATCATATTTGCTCGGTAAAAGGATATGGGCTTAAAATGAGCCGAGTTTAGATAGAACTTGGTTTAGAGATAGTGTAAAAAGGAAAATGGACTAGGCTAAGGGAAATAAAGCAATTATCTGATCTAATATGCAACCTGACCTAATGGCGGTGAAAGGTCATTGACAAGGGTTAAATCGGTCGCTACAATCTAACTCTCAATCAAACAATACTTATACGAACACCCTATAACCAAGTACAATGGCAAATAAAGGTTCGGTCCACGAGGAACGAGAGTAATTGCAAATCAATCTTAAACCTAAGCTAGTTCGAAATCAATGGAAAATGGTGTTCTAAAATACTACTAATGAGATGGGATAAACCAAATAAACTAAGACACTAGGGAAAACGGGAATTCACCAAACCCTCGGTAACTACGCAACAAGGAATCATAGAGACAAACGGGATAAGCAAAGACTATATGTCTGATCAATATCGTGTGATAGGAAGACAACGGGCAATACCAAGCTTGGATTTCTCATGCACTTAACATTACTCGATACATAATCAAACCACATTCAATAATGAAATACTCAATTCACAATCTCTTGTTCAAACCAAGAATAACATGCAATCAAATTCAAGACTCTAGGTTAGCTACTCCTATTATAATGAATTAACATGCAATCGCATATAATCAATTTAATCACAATCCGTTTATCAAAATCAAACATTAATTGCGTAGATTACCTAGGCCGGGTTTCATCCCGAAACCCTAGCTAGGAAACTACTCACACTTATTCATAATCACAGCAATAATAGATTCCATAAACATCATAGATCTAAACATAAATTCTGATTAAGGAATAATAAAGCTAGATTAATAAACAAGAATGAATAATACCAATTGTATTGATGCGAATCAATGGAAAAGTTTAGAAATTTGATATCCGTCGTCAATGGATAATACAAAGAATCTTCACAAATCTTGCTTCAAATCAATCCAAGAAAACTAAAATCACTAGAATAATCTTTAAGAAAACTAATGAATCTCTAATACTAAGAACGTTCTCCAACAGCTCTCTACAAAGGCTCTCAAAAACTATCTCTAAAACTGTCTAAAAACGCCCCTTAAAATCGGGCCTTATATACGCCTTCTAATTCGGAGAAGTCAAGTGCGCGGTTAACCCTGGATCAGCACGGCCGTGCTATACTTGGCACGGCCGTGCTAGCTTGTCAGTAGCTAAACCGGATTTCTTCTTCAATTTGGCACGGCCGTGCAGATGCCTGGCACGGCCGTGCTGAAAATGACACGGCCGTGCTGAATATGCTCTAGCACGGGGCTCATACTGAAGCTGACACGGGCACGGGCAACATCTGGCACGGCCGTGTTAATGGCCTGCACGGCCGTGCTGGTGCGTGGATACTGACACGGCCGTGCTATTGGCTTGCACGGCCGTGCTGCCTAGTCTGGGGCTGCTTGCTCATAGGCCAGCACGGGTGTGCCTATGGTAACACGACCGTGCTGCCTGTGCTATGTAATCAATGCACAGCACTTGAACTTCCCTAGCTCCTCGGACTTCGGTCAAGGCTAGCTCGGTTACGCATCAAGGGCTCGGGATCCGACTAAACTCGGTTGATATTACCTGAAAACACATCAAAAACAAACCGAAAACCCGTGAAGCACGTAATATGGGGGACGTAAGCATAACAAGGCAATAATCGGCCAAAACGGCCCCAAATACATCCAAAATCATCCTAAAATATGCTCTAAAGCGCGCCCTAAAGTGCGCTTGTCAAAACCCCCCAAGCTACCCTTTTGCTAGTCCTCGAGCAAAAACCAAGGGAAACACACACAAGATCAAATAAACTATGCCATTGCGTACAAATCAAATTAAGCACGGAATGAAATCAATGGATCCTACTTAGAACAACCATGCACGGAATGAAAACTCACTCAAACAAGCAACGAGACACACAATCCAAGATATCGTTGATCAAAATGCGAACAAGACCTAAACCAAGCATAGAGAACAAAGAAGTCATGCTTCCCTCTAAACCCAACCAAACCGGCCACGTCCTCCCCTTTTGCTTCAAATCACCACCCTAATTGGCCCCTCGTGATTCCTCGAAGGAACCGGAAAAAGTGATGTTTTGAGGAAATAACAAAAGGTATCCCGACATCTCGATTACGCATAATCTTTCCATAGGGTTGAAAGGTATCTCCCTCCACCGTTTGAGAACCGAACACCTCTAAAGTCTAAGGGTCTTAAAGGGTTGCAATGTATTGGCAATGGGTAAGGTAGGTGAAAACAATTTACAAAAGTGGG